TTAACAAAACAACAAGGATATTATGCACCATTAACTCCATCTGGAAAAGTAGTAATTGATGGAGTTATTGCTTCAAATTATGCAAGTGTAAGCAATCATGATCTTGCTCATCAAGTAATGAAGATTTATCGATGGTGGATTGATCATACTAGTGGAAGATCAAAGTGGAATGAAGATATTCATTGGATATTACAAATGCTGTTACATATCATAGAATAATCTGAAAGACTTCTGTTGACTGAAAGTTTTGCTTATATAAGAAAAAAGTTGAACTATCTTACCCTTGGTTTGATGATTGGAATTAATAATTGTCTGCTAAATTGTATCCCTTTCAAAATAAATCTTTCTTTATGATATGGGGAGAGTAAACTCATCTGAAAGTACTTGAAGAGATCTTGCGAAGATGACTAAGCTGATCATTTTTTATCAAACTGTTGGTCATTATGGTGTCAAATAAAGCAGATGATGAAAGAATATCCATCAGAGGCATTATTCTAGAATTAGTAGAACTGAGCGAAATAAGTTGTCTGTTGCATTGAAGTCGTCTCTCACATAAATAACTGGAAAGGATCTGACAATGAAGAACTCATCTTCTTAAAATATTATTCCGAAATCAATCATTACAAAATCTCAATAAGTCTTTCATATAGGAACTGTCAATAGGGGTTATATTAGTTCCTTAACCCATGACCATTCGACAAAATATCAGCTCGAGGGTGTGGGTGGATGTGGATGTGGTTGTACTGAGTGTGAAGACAATACCCACATCCACATCGACATTCACACCCCGAAAGAATAATTTTCAACGCTTAATTTGTACCGTCTTTCCAATGATTCATAATACGAGTTAATTAAGGGCATTTACTAATTATTTAATTTTGTTTGTTCAAAAATAAACTTGCCATGTTTGATGAAAAACATCTAAAACTGTCATTATTAACAAGATGGAAGAATGAAAAAATATAGTCTTATGTTTCCATATTATTCAGGATTGTGACTCATGTCTTCAGAATTTTCATCAATACTAGTAGTACTTCATTCTAACTGTATCCTTGTGTAATCACTCTTTATTTCAAATGAGCAAAAAAGCATTTTTATTATTTTAATGAAGGTTCAGTTCGTGCGCAAAAATTTTTGCACTCGGTGATTGCCATAATCGACAACATACAAATTCATTTGTGAGTCGAACGCAAGTCCAGTAGGAAGATTAAGTCCTCGCGATGACAACTGTGCTGTGCCCATACCGGCAATTGTTGTGCCACTTGAAAATGATGAGCCATTCTTGCAGTAAAATTGGATTCGATGATTTCCGGAATCACTTACGTAAAGATTTCCATAAGTATCACGTATGATGCCCCAAGGATAATAAAGTAAAGATGCTAAGCTGCCGACTGTCGCATTTGAACCGACAATAATTGTGCCCGTTGTCGTACCGACTGGCCAGGAGATAATTGTGTGGCGGTTATAGTCAGCAATATAGAGTGTGTTGTCGTTCGAATCGATAGTAATGCCAAGTGGAAAATTCAATTGACTAGAGCTATAACCTGATGATCCGTCACCAGCGACAAGAACGCCAGTCGAAGCTCCTGAAGACCATTTAACTATACGTCCAAATGATGCATCCGAAACATAGACATTTTTTGCTGTATCAACATATAATGCGAAACTATAGCCAAGTTTATCTAAAGTCGGACCAGTACTTCCACATGAACTACCAGCTACTGTTGAGCCATTCGAAGCGCCATATGACCAAAACTGAACACGACAACTGTACGTATCGACAACGTAAAGATTTTGGTTTGAATCAACATATACAGCGCTTGGATTGTTTAATGTGGTTGAAGTAACAGTTGGCACACCGGTAATGCCTGCAACTACTGTTACATTATTTGTTCCATTGCTCCCCGACGATACACGTAGTACTCGATGATTGTAGGTATCAGCAATATAAACATCACCATTCGTATGAACAAATATACCTGTCGGTCTATCCAATTGATTCAAGGAACTGCCACTCGAACCATCGCCTATTACAGTTATGCCAACCGGATTCCATTGTAGTGCAGCGCCTGATAAAACAAACATACACATAACAGAAAATGAAGGTACTTTAAAAACTCTTACACGAGGAAACTGTTGTCGATGATGATCCTGTCAAAGAATAAAAATAATTTCTAGCAATGAATGTAACTTATGAATAGATTTGTAACTTTACTTGTCAGTAAAACAGCCAAGATGATAGCTACAGAAATGGCTGTCATCAACAAACCAATGAGTAATCCTTGCAAACGATACTTCCATGTTGGTGAAAGAAGTTGACGTTTATCCACTCTAATTGAAGAATCTTACATGTAAAGAAACCCTCATTTTTCTTACCTCTCCAATGCCGAATCTAACTGGGCAGTAGAACACCCATTTGGAGAACTAATATCAATACTTGTTTCAGATCTAATTTGATTTGATCTTCTCAATACTTTTGCACGATTTACTAAAGCATCAAAACGAGGATCAATGATCGCTTGAAGTGAGTTAGCTTGAGTTGGCGTGTCAACTGCTCTTCCTCCGTTTGCATTTTCACTAGCATACTGCTGCTGTAAAACACTGCTATACATTCTTCGTCACCCTACTTACACATTGAATATTAACAAAAGATTAATACATACGGCGCAACTGTTTTATTATGCATGATGCGAAATGGCTTCCAGAGAGATATTTCTTTTTTCGTCTCATTTCTGTAACAGAGTTTCAAGTGCACAATAATTTTGAAAGCGAAATTGAAAAATTAATTGAATAAAGAAGAGATTGAAATGATGAAAGAAAATAAAAAATGAAAGATGATGAATTCATTCGTTGCAGACGACAAACAACACACAGAAATAGAAGTCGCCATGCACGACCAAAAAAAAAAATAATAAAGATCATTCTTGGTATGCTAGCCACATTGTGATTGGTTCACAACGAAGAACAATCGATTTCTTTGGAAAAAGCCATCTTGAGGCCTTTTATTGTTATATACTTTCGAATGAGATCGCCATTGATACATCTTTCTCAATCATTTTCAAAAAAAAAAGTATTGAGACAGCTAGGATGTGGATGAAGAGAAGACCATAACTCACATCCACGCCCTCATTATCTTTTAACTCACTAAAATATATGAGAATAATATAAGAGTTATTTTATACTCAGAGCTCTTCGACGTTTTTGCTGTAATCAATACATTTCGCTGTTCAGTTACAAGAGGATATGTCCGAAGGTTGACAAAACTACGTTGTACATACTGTTAAATGATTTTCTCTTTAAATTTTAATATTCGTATGTTTCATCGAAGAATTGAAATTCACTGAGTTTTGAAATGTTTTCGGACCTATGATGTTGAAAAAGTATATTTTAACTAAATTTAGATCGATTGACTAGGAGTTTATTAAAAGAGACGGTAACAACGATCAACGAATAGTATCCTCATGCTTTTGAATTATGAGGATGATCTGTAAGATATTTAAAGGAAGATCATGCAGATAAGGTAATAAAGGCTTGGGGAAAGACACTTATTTTCTTTGGCGAATTGAATAAGCGCAATAACTTTTCACATGAAAATTTATTCTACATTTATTCACATTTTTTTTTTGTAAAAAATTGTTTTATTCATCTAATTGATAGAGAGCTGACCTGAAGCATCTAATATTTAAATATAAAGAACATAAGCAGCAGATTAATAAAGAGGTGTGGGTGTCTATTTTCTTTTCATCAACACTCACACACACATACACACCTGAATTATGATTGTTATAAATGTACAATATATTGTTAGAGATTTTAAAATAATTCATTTAAAAAAAATCAAATATATAAATAAATCAAAATTATAACAATTTTTATAGTTGATAGACATGCTCTGCGATATACTATTCGATTAAATAATATTATTTCGACTACGATAATTTTTCAATAAAATATTCTTTCAAAAAGCATTTATTTAATTTTCACTAAAAGTAATAGGTATTTTGAACACAGTTCAAATAACACTTCCAGTACAAGAAGGTACTATTAATAATGAACTTTCATAAAAGTCAAAATTCATTTAGATAACCTTTCATCAATAACGCTAATTTTAAATTGAATATTTATAGAGCAGTTTGTGGCGCATCGAAGGATATATAAGAAACCAACCTTTCCTCAAATTTTGATACATTGGAGATCTATATGTTGGTTATAATCCTTGATGAATACGTATGGTGCTCATAGATATTGTGATTTCTACGATGTTCTAAGACAAACTTATGATTGATTATGTAATTTTCAAAGAATCCTTTATGTAAATATTATAAAATTCATCGAAAGGTGTCAATGTTTGATAAATAATACATGTTGTTTCTATGTTGATCGATGATGTTTAGCACATGACGAATGTGTTTCATTCTAAATATCAAATTATAAATCATGATAGTTTCAACTTTCACTAGTTGTTAGATAACCTATTACATTAGTGAGTTTTTAATAATTGAATTAGCTTGTGTATTCTATGTCAACACGAAAGAATCAAGACAGGGGACAAAGTAAGAGGAAAAGGTTGATTTTACTCATATTTTGAATTTTGCTCATGCAAAATGAAGTTATACTTCTTTGGTGATGGAAAATTAGCAATAATTTATTCAGTCTAAGTCACTATTATTATTCTGTTATGATTACATATCTTTAAATGATAGAAATTTGATTTTCACGGACAAGGAAGGGAGCAGAGAAAAGTAAACGACGAAGCAATATGATAACACACGTATCATGTTCGAATTACAAGTACTAAGTACGGTTAGCAATTAATGAATGAATGATTGGTATCTTTTCTAACTCTATAGATTTGTATTTTTTTATTACTAACAGTAAATATATTTTAGGTGTGACTCAGAGTCGTATGGGATGTAATTAGGGAGGAAAAGGTGTAATTTCAATTATATCTGTACGCTGTTTGTATTTTCAGTATCAATCGTGTTAACGAATGAAAAGGCAAAATTATATTAGAACTTAACTTACATTTC